TCAGGTGTGTCAGGTATGTTCAGGTGTGTTCAGGTGTATCAGGTGTGTTCAAGTGTGTTCAGGTGTGTTCAGGTGTGTTCAGGTGTATCAGGTGTATCAGGTGTATCAGGTGTGTTCAGGTGTATCAGGTGTATCAGGTGTATCAGGTGTATCAGGTGTGTGTACCTGCAGGGCAGCACTGTGGTTCCTGTACTGTTTCAGACTGTGTGCTACAGTGTGGGTTTTGTCTTCAGGTCTGGTCTGCAGTCGGTTCTGGACCTCAGAGTTCGGAGCGGGTCGAGTCACAGTGTGGAACCTGTTAACACAGACGGGTGGTTCAACATGTTCTACAGAACCTGAAATAAGGTTCTGAACAGAGTCAAGGTTGTCGACATCTAGCGAGTTTACTGGTTAAACTGGTTGAACTGGTTAAACTGGTGAACTGGTTAAACTAGTTGAACTGGTTGAACTGGTTGAACTGGTGAACCTGGTGAACTGGTTAAACTAGTTGAACTGGTTGAACTGGTTGAACTGGTTAAACTAGTTGAACTGGTTAAACTGGTTGAACTGGTTAAACTAGTTGAACTGGTTAAACTGGTTAAACTGGTGAACCTGGTGAACCTGGTGAACTGGTTAAACTGGTTGAACTGGTTAAACTGGTGAACCTGGTGAACTGACCTCTGTCCACTGACTGGGTCTGTTGCTCTCAGAGTGATTCTCTCCAAACAAACGTCATCTGTCAACTCCAGGAAGAAAACTCTGAGGACAGGAAGAGAACAGTAGTCGTAGTATTACTAGTATTATTATTATTAGTAATAGTAGTATAATCAGTAGTACCTTGTACCTAGTTGTAGGATCAGTCGTACAGGAGTAGTAGTAGTATCAGCAGTAGTACCTGTTGGGCTGGTGCTGCGACTCCTGCAGGTTCTTGGCCTGCTGCAGGTCCCAGGGGAACCCGTGCACGATCCAGCCTCTATAGGTGCAGTCCATCCGGCTCAGACGTTCCTGAAGAACCTGCAGAACCAGCGAGTCTGCAACTGATAATCAAGAATCACACCTGTGCTTTAGAGTTCACACCTGAAGTTCAAGTTACTTCAAAGGTTCTAGAGTTTAATTAGGAGGTTCTAGAGTATTCTACATGAATACAGATTGTAGAGGCTCAGTGGCAGCAGCAGAACCACTGCAGGCCTCCTTAGTGTTGGTATGTTCTGATGCAGCAGTGGGTTCTGCGGCGCTGTGACGTGGAACATGAGCCTGCAGGTGTCAGACTGTGTTACCTGGACGACCATCATCCAGGTACGGCTGGATCTGTTGTCCCACAGCGGACCCGTCGGCTGCTACGGACCTCAGCAGGCACCCACAGCACACTGACGGACAGAACCACAGATCTTGATTACACCCTGAGAACCGAGCGCTCCAACAGAACCATGTGGGAGTTCCTACCGTCCACCATCTTGTATTTGTGTGACAGCAGTCGGGCCTGGTGACTCTTCCCAGAACCTGGAGGACCCAGCAGGAGGATTCTGGGGGTTCTGGAGCGGCGCTGGGTCTGAACGAAGTCCAACACTGAGAGAGAACCCACAGGTTACCCCCCTGCTCAGGTTCCTGTGTGGAACCTTCACTGATAAAACAACATGACGCTAAAGCTATACGTGAGAACAGCTTTTAACTCTGAACGAATAAGGACAGCATGTGGTGTGTGTGTGTGTGTGTGTGTGTGTGTGTGTGTGTGTGTGTGTGTACCCTGCTGGTAGACGTCAGCGTGTGGTTGGTCGCCGTTGACGACCTTCAGGACGTGCTGGTAGGCGGAGCTTATGCCTGTGACCTCACGGCGGAAACACTGCAGCTCAGCTAGTCGCTGCTCCTCTGACAGGCCCCGCCCCTCCTCCAGGCGGCGAGCAACGACATCATCGACAGGTCTGATGAAGGTGTGATGGTAGACGTCTGCAGACACACAGTCAGGACGGATCTGAGGTCTGAAGAACCTCAGAGAACATCAGAGAACCTGAGCTGACCCACTCACCTCCAGTCAGAGGGTCCACCTGTCGGCCCTGAAACCGCTGCAGCAGAACTTCATCCGGAGCCGTCAGCAGCACTGACACACACACACACACACACACACACACAGAGCTGCATGTTACACAACACAGACACACACACAGTGAGCCAACATGTTGTTTTGTTCTCACCAACGTGTTCTGGTAGAACGCCGAGCTGCTGCAGACTGAGAGCCTGCAGACGAGTCCGAGGGAACCCGACCAGCACCCAGCCCTGGAACACACACACACACACACACCTCAGATCATGTGAACAGCAGCTAGTTCTGGTTCTGGATCACCAGTCAGGTTCTCATTAGTACATAGTTGCTATCAGCTGTTCTAGCAGCAGGTTCTAGTGCTTCATGGTTCATTCAGACTGTGAGGAACATTTAGAATGTCTGCTGATAAATGAAGGTTTTATTTCCAGTCTCTATGACTTCAGTTCTCCAGGATTCTCACTGTGACCCGATCACTAAACCGCATCCTGTCAGGAACGTTCTGCAGCTCATTAGAACGTCGTGATTTGAGGCTGACGGCAGAATAACAGAGACAGCACTAATCCCTCAGTGCTGCCTGTCAGGCTCAATCAGCACGACTGGCAGCAGACACACACTGTGGCAGGAAGTGTGTGTGTGAGGAGCGGCTTCATTGGGTTCTAACACACGATCAATGGTTCTGTTTCAGATGTTGATCGGCAGATTATCTGGGGTAAACTGGGCGGTTCTCCAGTTCATGGAACTGGGTCAGGTGGTTCCTGATGTCATTCAGGAGATTCTACATCTAAGACCCACTACAGCCCCTAAGGAGTGATGTTTGGTGGGTTCTAGGTCTCATTTTAGTGATTCTCACTCATGTAGCTTGGTGGTTCAGGTGGTTCTAGAACTTATTTAGGAGGTTCTAGTTTGACTTAGGAGCTCTTTAGACGGTTCTACAGTCATTTAGGTGTTTATAGCGGCTGAGCTGCTGCAGCAGCTGAAGGCTGAAATGTCCCAGAAGAGCTTCTCAGGTGTTCTGGCTCCATGAGCTGCAGGGGCAGAACCTTGAACTGGAATTTACAGGTTCTGTTTAAAATGACCCGATTCTTTAAGGCAGAACCAGACTGTGGAACACTTCGACAGTCAGACAGACAGACAGACAGTCAGACAGACAGACAGGTTAGTAATGTGGCAGCGTCTTAACGTCAATCATCCTCCATTTACACACAGACTGAAGAGTTTAGCCTGCAGCTAAATACAACCATTAACAAATCAAAGAGCTGCTAATGTCACACACACACACACACTCTCACACACACACACACACACTCTGAAGCTAAAAGCTGCAGTTTGTAGTCTTCAGAGGAAACAGAAGCCGACTGATGGTGTCGGAGGATGAAGCCGTGTTCTAGCTGGAACCTTCAGAGGAACCTTGTCAGAGGTGAGTGTCCCGTCAGACAGCTGTTCTCAGCAGGTTCCTCGTTCTTCTCCCCTGAGGGGCATTTAAACATCAACCTAAACAATAAAACTCTGACGGGATCTGAAGATCAGCCGACCAGGTCTACAGTGTCTGCTGACCGTTTGAAGGACATCTATCGTTTAGATTAATGTTCCTTTGAGGTGAAAACTGAAGGTTCTACCTTTGAGATGATGTTTGAGGGATGTCAACAGGAACACAGATTATGTTCAATGATAGCAAGGGAGGAACGTTCTCAAACCAGCATGCAGAAAATGTTCTCCAGATGTTACCGAGGCCGCAGATGACTTTTGGAGAATGTTCCTGTGAGGTGATGAGTTAGGATGTGTTGGGGATGCTGTTAAGGGAACATATGATGAGATCTATAAAACGTTCCCACAGTGTTAGAGAGCAAGAGGTTTTTAAAGAACGTTAGACTGTGATGGTCTAACACCCACTAGAGCTGGGTCGTGGCACCTGAAGCCACTAGAACCACTCAAAGAATGAACCTCTGGAGTCGCTGGAACCTCCTCTGTGACTAGAACTTCCTCAAGAACATGAAAAACCTCATGAACAGCATCGATAGGCCCCTTGATGAATGTGTGAACCTCCTTATTGACCTCCTAAAGAACCAACAGAATCACCTAATGAACCACCCGCCTTAAACCATCTCAGTGACCACCAGAACCTTCTCAAATATCACAAGAACCTTCTACAAAACTCTTAGAATCCTCTCAAGGAGCCCCAGACCTAAAATATCTTACATCACATGAACCACCTAAACATCTTACAGGACTGCTAGACCAACTAGAACCCTCTAGACCAGGGATCTCCAACTCTGGTTCTAATGAGCTCCTGTCCTGCAGGTTTTAGACGTCTCCGTACTGCAACACACCTGACTCAAGGTAATGGATCACTAACAGACTTGTGTAGAACCTGACGACAAGCTGCTGGAGAACCATTAGTCTGAGTCAGACGTCTAACACCTGCAGGACAGGAGCTCATGAGGACCAGAGTTGGAGATCTCTGCTCTAGACCCTTCTCGGTGATCCTTAGAACCTCCTCTAAGAATGCAGGTACCTCTACTCTATTCAACTCTAGAACCAACCACTGGAACCTCTTTAATGAACTCTAGAACCACTTAAACATTAGTAATGACCTCCAGAACTTTCTAAAAGTCCACTACAGCCTCCTAAACATTCTAAATAAACTCTAGAACCTCCTGACTGATGACGTGAACCTCTGACACATTCTAAGTGAACTGCAGAACCTCTTCCATGGAGCGGTGGAACCAATCTCAGGGTGTTCTGCGCTCGTCTGTTTGCTGTCTGTGGCTGTTTGGTGGGTTCCGGCCAGAACACGGAGAACACAGGTGAGGCGCTGGTCTGCAGGTGTGTGCAGCTGCGAGCTCCACTTTGCGTTCTTGTTGTGTTTGTGACGGAACGTTGCGCTGCTTTAACTCTGCAGAACGCCGTCAGAACGTGATGCTGATGAGACGCGACGGCTGAAGTGACAGCGCCGCCGCCGTTTGATCAGCTGATCTCTGGGGAGGCGAGCCGCTGCTCGGCCTGCTGGGAATCGTAGTAGGACACAGCGGCGACCAGAGCGCTAATTATGATCATCAGAGCCCCGATTCATGGCGATCAGCTGATATAAATACACCCAGCCTGATGAATATTTCATGGCTGAACCTCTGAGAGCGGAACGCGTCTGGAACAAACCTACAGACTCTTTATCGTCAGGCTGACAGCATGTTTATGAGCAGAACCTCATTTCAATGATCTGCCACTGTCGGCTCAGTTTCACCTGCAAACCGTTTATTTTAGTTTTCATCAGAAAGCAGCAGCTGGTTTCTGAGTGGCTGCAGCAGGACGTCAGTTTATCAATAACTAGACTGATTCCTGTCCAACAGAGTCGCCATCATGTTCATTCTTCAATCAGCCGTGACCGACAGCAGCCCTCGTCTTGTTCAGACTACACACAGCTGGAGTTCAATGAAGCTTCATCGTGTCCCTCATACGAGTCTGATACTTGTCAATGATTTTGTAGTTCTAATGAATGCTATTAACACTTTAGTGATTCCCGGTTCATTGCAGATGTGTATGGAAGACACAGGATAGATAAAGTTAAAGGACATTCTGGTCGGATCCTATCTGTACCAGCAAGAGTTTCATGTCAGACATCTGGTCGGAGCTGAACTGAAGATTAAATAAACGAGTCTTTGCCAGTTGAAAACGTCCTCGTAGATGTTTTTAGTCGTCCATGAACATCACAGCAACGCTTCAGAAAACGTTCGCTCACATTGTAAAAATGGAAAAACACATTTTTAACCATTAAAGTCCTTTTTCAACAGGAAGGAGTTTAACTGTTGTTCTTTCTAGTGAAGAACAAATGATTCATGTTCAGCCGTGACCCGATGACCCGACACTAAA